GAAATGAACTGTAAAATAACTAGAAGATTAATAAATTAGATAAAACACATTACCAATAAAAAAAATGCAAAGTTTAAAATAATTCTAACATGAAGCTTTTACATCCTTGTTAACAGTCAGAGGGGTTGCGATATGATAGAGAACGTAGACAAAGTCAAGAGGGCCACCGAGTTTATGACGCGATTGAGAGACAGCAAGTTTATTATAGGGTTGCAGAAATAGTAGAAACAAATTTAAAAGGATGACTTTTTCTGATTTTTTTTACAGATTTTAACGCATTGTTTTATACGGAAAATATTTGTTTATCAGGAATAAAATAAAGTAAAACTTTGATTCTTTTAAATATATAAAAATTTAAAAACCAAGCAAGACATACGGCTTTTTATTTAAAATCAGGAATTACTCTTGTTTTTTTTATAAGAGAAAACAGCAAACATAACATTTTTTTTAATCTTTAAAGTTTATACTTGTGTAAAAATTTTGTGTTATTTTATGTAAAAGTCAAATCATGGGATATATTAACCATATCCAGGGATATTGCGTAATCACTTTGACCCCGGTATCCCGTTTGAAAAACCTTTGTGTGTCATGATTATAGCTAAAACTTTCTGTCTCACGATTGAAAATTTATCACTCAATGGTGAAATGGTGGGCTAAAGTCAACCCACATATTGGATTTTGGCTTAATTCATTAAAGAAGAATTAAATTATGCATTGAAGTAGTAAAAACGTATGCTAAAAAACGTATGAACAAAAAAAATAAAGTTACATAAAAAAGTCTTAAAACAAGATTTAATAATCAAGTTCAGGTACTCATTAACTCCCCTTTTCAATATTATCTTTTGTTCTTTATCAATAAACTCTTACTGCGGAAATTTTTCTGCTTATAGTGACCACTCCAACTTAAATCCTATTTTTTAATAGTAGTTTCTACTAAAAACTGTAAACTAAAAAATCAATGATAAAGTATTGTCAAAGTGTAAAATTTGATAAATAGGTCAAATTAAAAAAAAAAAAAAAACTGTCTAAGATATAAACTAACTTTTCATTTAAATGCATAAAAATAACTCTTCATGGCATTGAACGATAATATAATAATACACTTCATGATATAATAAAATTTTATTTATTTTCATTTTCATTTTCTTAATTTCCAAACATTGAGCTGTTAATAAATGTTAAAAGATTCTGAATGATTGAATAAAATAAAAGTTATGTTAGATACTGCGTTGGTACAAGGACCAGCAAAATCAAAGCTGTTTGTCGCAAATTTAGTTATAATACTTCTAGGTGTACCTTCATTATTTTTGCATATCCTTTCATATCCTTTAAGGGCGCATTTTAGGCTATATGAATTCACAATAAAACTGATCCCACATAATTTTATTACATATTATACATACTGCCCACTAAAGTGGTTCTATAAAAAACTTAAAAATAATCAATTTAAAATCCATCTGGGTTCATTGCGATTGGTTAAACACAGAAACTATACAGAGTAAAACGAATTCTTATGTACGATTATGTAAAATTAGCTATATTTTAATTGAAATGAAAAAAGCAAGGACGTATAGATGTAAATGTTGTCTGACCACCATACCTTTTGGTATGCACATGTTTAATCTTTTACTTTTATATCGATCTTTTTATAATTTAAATCTGTCTTGGAACTACTAAACTAATTTTATGAATTATGTAGCTGCTTTAAACATTCGGTAGCATATTTTCTGTTTTTGTAATTCGGCTTATAATTTACCTGTTTAGACTGATTCCAGCTAACATTTTTTTAGTGGATTTGCACTGGACCTATATAGGCAGTTTATTGGAGTTTTGCTCATCGGTTACTTAGAGGATCTCCTGTAGCATCCGCTATAAGTGGTCAACCGATAACTTTTCAACATGTAATATAGTGGCTTGTTGTCGGCTGCCGCTAATGGTCCACTAAGTAACCGATAAGCAAAACTACAGTCCGCTCAAAATGCGTATATAGCACAGTAGACCAGAATTCACTTTTACTGGACAAAACTAATAAATTGTCATATAAAAAAAATTTAAGAACCATTTTTGAACTGTTTACTAATTTGAGGGTTACGGTTTCAATGATGACATTAGTCTTAATTTTGGGTTGCTATGAATATGTAAGTTGCTTAGCAACCACTTATTTTATTAAGATAACAAATATAAACTGGAAAAAGTAATAACTTTATTGGATTACTCAGATAATAACCTCTTGAGTATTTATATACTACAATTTCACAACAATTATTCTAGTGGTCCTATGAATTTTTTATTTGGTTGATAGTTACAAATGAAATGCCAGGCAACAGTTCATTTTGCATATTTATTAGCTTAATTAACTTTTCTTAAAGCATCACTATTATAAACTAGACTAATATTAATGTGGCAGTCTGATTAAAAGTTATTTTGTGCATTTAAAAAATTTAACACATACCTAATTACTAAGTATTTTTAAGCAGTTCTAGGGTTATCTTTTATATTTCATGAAACTACTACATAATCCATATAGAAAGGATTATATAGTAGTTTCATGAAATATACAATAGAAATTATAATATATACACAAAAAGGTTTAAGCTTTAGATTATGTAAAATGTAAAGCTTAAACCTTCATCTGTACATACTAATATAAAAATTTTGATTTAAAATTATTTTTTAAACCAAAACTCATATATTCTGATAATTGTAAAACTGCTTTAGCTTCTTTTTCTTTACCATCTACAACCTGATGCAAACAATAGTTCTTAAGATAAAAATGATACAACTAAAAGCGTCAATCTTTTTTTCTTTGTTTTACCACTTAAAGTATCAAAATTCACCTGGAGTCTGCCAGATACTACAGTTAGATTCTTTCTTAATCAATGGAAGCAGTTAGTAGAATTTTCTTACTATCAATTCCAAATTGAAAATAGATTGGTTCATTTTGTAGCCACTGTTTGTTATTCTCTTCAAAACGAATTTTAGAGTTTTTGCATATATTTGTCAAAGATACTTTAAAAAAGTTATACAGGTTATTTTTATGTCTTAAATTTATGCCATTTACAACTGCATCCGAAATATTATAAGAAGCTAACTTCAAGTTTTCTTGTATTATATATGAATAAACATTAATATTTTTTGTCACGTTTTAACTTTATAAAAATATGAATTTCATTTACAAAATCTTATAAATAGGTATTTTAAGATGTATAAAATGTATATACAAAATATATAAGTGCGCTAAACGAATTTTTTAAACATTGGCATAAGTGCGCCAAAAGTTTTTGTAAATATTCGAATTGGCTTAAGTGCAAACTGTCATAAGTGCGAAGCAGTTACAAAAACTGGAATAAGTGCAAATTGGCATAAGTGTGCCGAATAAGATTGCAAATTTTAACATATGTGCAAATTGGCATTTCGCACTTATGCTAATTTTAACTTATGTCAGCTCGCAATTATGCCAATGTTAATAAATTCTTTTTGCGCAATGTTAACAAAGTTTTTTAATCCAGTTCGCATTTATGTTACTTCACACTTATTCCAGTTTTTGCAACTGCTTCCAGTTTGCACTTATGGCAATTCTCACTTACGTCAATGTTTGGAAATTTATTTGGCATACTTATGCCAGTTTGGACTTATGCCAGTTTGCACTAATGCCAGTTTTTGTAAATGCTTTGCACTTATGCCAGTTCGACCTTATGCCAGTTTCGCAATTATCCCAGTTCGCTCTTATGCCAATTCGCACTTATGCCAGTTTTTGTAACTGCCTTTGCAATTATGCCAATTTGCACGTATGCCAGTTTGCACTTATGCCAGTTCGCACTTACGCCACTTGCACTTATGCCAGTTCGCACTTATGAAATTCGCGCTTATTCAGTCGTCCCACAATAATGTAATTTTTGAAAATGTTTTTTTTTTTACTTTTGTCCACCACCTGGCCCACTGTGTATAGATTCACTAAAATTCCGTTATAGAATGTTTGCCGGGATGTTTGTACTTTTATACTAATTTAAATCCGTAATAAAAATATTTTTTTTTGGTGTGTGTGTTCGTATTACATGATAAAATCCTTTACAACATGTAAATTCCGTAGGCTTATAAATTCAAAGTCTAGATAACAATATATATATATATATATATATATATATATATATATATATATATATATATATATATATATATATACATATATACTTTTGAACCAAAAGTTACAAAAATGTTATAACCTTTTCAAAACAAGATGAAATCAAGCACTAATGATTTAAATTTATCTCAGTTTATATTCTAGTGATATACCTTCACTTCAGTTTTCATTCTAGGGATATACCTTCATTTCAGTTTGTTTTCTAGGGGTATACCTTCACTAGAAACTAAGAATGTTAAAGATTATACAACTAAAAAACCTAAGTGCTATTTACAAGAAATTCACAAAGCCATTTAAATCTTAGTTAAGTAAATGACAATTAAAATTTTTGCAACTTGCCACAAAACGTCAGCAGACATACCTTGCGCTATTGAATATAACCACAATAACAAAAACAATTACAAAATTTTGCTTTGGCCAATTACAGCTTACAAAAATACATTTGATAATATTTTAAAATATAATCGTATGTTTTACTATAAAATACTGATGTGCAAGAAAACTTTTTTGGAAGTAAAAAAAAAAAACGAGTTAATAAACTTGTATTAAAATATCCAGGGCCGTCCCGAACGTCCAAACCGGGACACCCCTTAAAATATCTTCCCAAGTTTTTATTTTATGATGAAAAACAGTCTTTAAGCGATTTTTTTTTTAAAAGTTTTTATTTAAATCATATTAATATGAAAACAAGAGATTTTAATAAAACTGTATTTCTAAAACATAATAAATACAATAAAAACATCGCTACTTTTAGGGAAGAATAAATAAAGAAATTAAAATTTTGAAATGGGGAAAATTAAAGATATATTCTAAAATTTATACAAATACTTTTTAAATATTATGTAAAAACATTTGTCACTTTTTTTGAAAAAATAAATTTAAAAAACAATTTCAACATACAACATGTTTGTTTGTTTAATTTTAACATAAAACATGTTTATATGTTTAAAAACATATAACATGAACAAAAAAAAAAGGAAAAAACTAACTAATTTTAAAGAATCCACGTAATAAACCAAAAAAGGGAAAGCCAAAAGGATTTCAAGTTGTCTAGAGTGATAAAAGAATTATACCCAGTGCTATTTTAAAAAACGATAAGGAATTCTTATAGCATTATATTAATGTGAACGATCACAATATTGGTTACCCCCTACTTTTACTGTTCTTATAAAAAATAGAAAAGAAAATTTAAAAAAATATATAGAAAAGATTTACATAAAAGTCTCATAAGCTATCACAAAAATTCTTTGACATCTTGTAAATATTTATCCATTGCTCTCCAAAGAGCTTTTATATTTCCTGCACCAAAACCATTAGCATTGTTGCGGTATACAAGTTCGAAAAAAAACGTTTTTGTATCTAGCACAGGATGAGTAAAAATTTGATAAAGGAATCTAAAATACATACATATATATATATATATATATATATATATATATATATATATATATATATATATATATATATATATATATATATATATATATATATATATATATATATATATACACACATATATATATAAATATATATACATTTATATATATATAAATAAATATATATATATATGTATATATATATATATATATATATATATATATATATATATATATATATATATATATATATATATATATATATATATATACACACATATATATATATATATAAATATATATATATTTATATATATATATAAATATACATATATATATATATATACATATATATATATATATATATATATATATATATATATATATATATATATATATATATATATATATATATATATATATATATATATATATATATATATATATATATATATATATAGGGGTGGCGAAACAGTGGGGGCTTTAGGGGCTTCAGCCCCCTCACTTTTAAAAATGTGGGGGCTTTTGGTATTACAGCCCTTATACCAAAAGCCCATTTACATAAACCTCTATACATAAGCACATTTTACATAATTCAAAATTCCTAATCTTACGACTAGCATTTCCTTATAACTATGAAGAGTCATGACGGAACAGTCTCATAAAAAACAACGAACACTGTTTTTTTAATTTTGTACATGAAAAACATTCTTCAAATCCAACTTTTCCAATGGAAGAAATTATTCAAGGAAAAAATTGAAAAATCTTTTCCTGCTTATTCCTGCTGTGAGTGGAACGCTGAAAAAACAGAAATAATTCCTGCCGATATATTGAAGCAACCAAAAAAACGTATGGAAAACAACTTAGATTTTTCAATGAAAAATGGAATATAGATTACCTTTGGGTTCATCTATGTCATTCCAAAAAGAAAGTATTTTTCTATATTTGCATTGGTGCTGTCGAGAAAAATCTGGTATCTTTTTCAAAATGCGGTGAACAAATTTTTTTGACAATTGGTTATGACAATTGGAAAAAGGCTGTAGAAAAACTGAGAAAACACAACCTATCATCATTTCATAAGGAAGCACAGGAAAAATTATTTACATTACCTGCAGCAGGTTACATCAAATGATAAGTGAAATGCATGATAAGCAATGTGATGAGCATTACGAGTGCTTAATTTGTGTAATCTCTACATTAAAATGTGTTACTCAACAAGGCTTAGCTATTCGACAGAATGATGAAAATGAAGGCAACCTTAATCAGTTACTTTTAATGAGGAGTGAAGATTCTTCACCTCTCTCGAGCTTGCTGTCAAACAGTAAGCGCATGTCTCATGATATTGTTAATGAGATGATAGAACTAATGGCAAATTATGTGCTAAGAAATGTACTTAAAGCTATTAAATTGAGAATTTTTTTCTGTATTATGCAATAAAACTTGAGACATCTTCTATTTATGCGATAAACTTGAGACATCAACTAAAAGTTTTACAATATATGAAGATTTTTTTGGTCTCTATGCAGTTGGTGCTACCGACAGTAAGTCGCTTTTTTATGCAATATGTGATGTTTTATTAAGATGTGGACTAGACAAGAAAATGGTATGGGGGCAAAGTTACAATGGTGCCACTTCAATGTCAGGGCATCTAAATGGTGTTACTAAATTTTTTCAAGATGATGTCAATGAAGCAATATTTATACATTGTTACGCACATCGACTAAATCTTGTTCTTTAAGATGCATGTAGTCAGTTGTATGAACTAGGGACAGGAAATGTGCCAGCTGTTGTATAATTTTATTTGTTTAGCTCCAAAGAGACTGTTAAGGTTAAAAAGATTACAATGCGATATACTTGACGAGGAAGTCAAGCAAATCAATTTAAGTGCTCCCAACTCGCTTTACCGCGAGGACCAAATCATATGGTTCTATTCTGACAAATTTTTAAGTAATTGTTTTAGAGCTTCAAAAAATTTCTGAAAAAATTCTGAAAAAATTCTGAATCAAATCCTAACAGAGCTAAAGCAGAAGGTTTACTTGACAAATTATTATCATTTCAATTATATTTTGGGCTTCGCTTGGCTTATGATGTGTTTACAACTGTAGAGCAAGTCTCTCAACATATGCAATCTGCTGAAACAGATGCTCAAACAATTGCTTCATCAATAATGTTATTAAAAATTCATTTATCATCTATGAGATCAGAAACACATTTTAAATCATTTTTTGAATCTTGTGTTAATGAAGGATTTAAGAAATTTGGTTGCAATTCACCTCATGCTTTTTTGTCTTGCCGACGTTTAACTCCTGGATTTGATAATAATACTTTGAACATTCACAAATGGGACACGATGGAATATTACCGAGCTCAGTATTACGAGGTACTTGATGTTATAGAAAGTCAATTAAATCCGCGGTTCCCAGAAAATTCAATGGAATCAATAATTGCTTTAGAAAGGTCATTATTATCCACTGCAAATGGTGATACGGACATAAAAGCTTTAGATATAAAAGTTTTCTATAAAAATGATATAGCTTATAAAAATTTAAAAGCTGAAAGAGTTCAAAATATTTAAATTCATTAAGGAAACTTATAACATTACATATAAAATGAACATTAAACAGGTAACATCAATCACAATTATAATTGATATGTTAAATGGCTGTAAAGGAGTCTTAATGTTTTTTGAAATATCAAAACTTCTTAAAATTTTCTTGGCGATACCATTGACAACCTGCACAGCTGAGAGACCTTTATCTAAGAATGATGAAGTCATATAGTCAGTCAACCTCAACTCAGAAGCATTTGAATCATTTTCTACTTCTTCAATTTTATAAATTAAACAAAAGTTGATGTAAAAGCTATAGCAAAAGATTTTATAAATTGAAAAAGTAAAAACACCAGAATTTTTTACTATAAAATGTTAAATTATTTTTAGATTGTAACATTCTTTTAATTTTAAATTTTAGTGAAATATGTTTATAGTTGATATCATATTTTATTGAAAATGGATGCATGTGGTTTTCTTTTAAGAATAACTGAAAATTAATATTAGTTTTATAAAATTTGCAAAATTTTTTTAGCCCCTCCCCTCTCACTTTTTATTTTCTTCCGCCAACCCTCTATGTATGTATGTATGTATGTATGTATGTATGTATGTATGTATGTATGTATGTATGTATGTGTATATATATATATATGTTTATACATATATATATATATATATATATATATATATATATATATATATATATATATATATATATATATATATATATATATATATATATATATATATATATATATATATATATACAGACACACACACAATAATTATGTAAATGAATGTGTTTATATAACTTGACTAACCTGTTTTGTTCTGTAGAAGGCTCATAAATGTGTTCAGCATCTATTAAAATTCCAATTTCTCTTAGAGCTATAATATCATCTTTTTTATTCAGTATATCTAGTGTGGATGATATCTAATTATGGTATATTATAAATACAGTATTCAATAACTTTTTTTTTTAATAGAAGTAATAATTGGTAATAAATAATGAAATGAAATTATTAAAATTACTTCTTCATAATATTGATTAGGTGGTTTGATAAAACTCACTCCATTTTTTATCCAGATAAGAGAATCCTGAATAATTGATTTAGTATGAAATGCAATGTGTTGAATACCTTCACCTTTGTGCTTTTTTAAAAAAAGCGTTATTTGATCGGATTCTAAAAAAAAAAAAAATCAAAAGTTAAATTTACAAAAAATTAAACTCATGATTTTATTACATAAATCTATTGAACATATCTATTCTATAGATGTTGCCACTATAATTTTTGCTATGCGTGTAAGGGGTGTTCAAAAAAACAAAATTTTCAAAATGCGAATACACAAGAAGCCAAACTTGGGACAAATTTTTAAAAAATATGATAACAAAAAAAATTCCTAAAATATTGATATTTACTTTGCGCTCAAGCAGCAAAATACATCAAAAAATGTCCAATTTGTTTCTAAATTATTTGGCTTTGAGCGCACGGTAAATCTCAATATTTTGAAAAAATTTTTTTTAATGTGACATAATGGTCCAAATTTTTTTTAATGTAACATAATGGTCCAAATTTTTTATTTAGATTGTTGTGTATCCTGGTTTTTTTATAATTGTTGTTTAAAATAAAAAAAGATTTTGCATAATTTATGCAACAAAAAAATATATTCTTTTTGTGCATTTGCACAAAATCTTTTTTTAAAATAAACAAGAACTATGAAAAAAAAACTAGGATACACAACAATCTAACAAAAAACTTAAGACCATTATAGTCGCATTAGAAAAAAAATTTTTAATAAAATATTGGGATTTACCTTGCGCTTAAAACCAAATAATTTAGGAACAATTTGGGGCATTTAAATGTCAATATTTCTGGAATTTTTTATTTGTAATCGGTTTTTTTTTATATATTTGCCCCAAATTTAGCTTCTTGTGTATCTGCGTTTTGAAAATTTTATTTTTTTGAACACCCCTAATGCGAGTGTTTAATCTTATTTATTTATGTTGATGTGAGCATTTTTATAATATATTTTCAACACAATTTATTTTCAAAAATAAATACAGTTAATAAAATAAAATTTTACAAGATCAAAATGTTTCATAGCAAAATTAAGACACAATTATGGTTAAATAAGACATATTTATGGTTAAATAAGACACATTTATAGCTAATTTAAAATCTCAATTGAATTAATGGAATAACACAGCATCACAAAATTTTTTACAGTAACATTTTGAACAATGAAATGCTAATAGTTATAGGGATAAGGAGTCACAAAAATGAATTATAAATATAAAACTAAATATTAACAAAAATTTCAATAAGATTTTTCAATAAGATTTCAATAGGATTTTTCAATAAGATTTCAAAAAATTTCATAAGATTTAATAACTTTAAACCAATTGTTTTTTAGCCTGGAGTCCTAGATGTCTGGAGTCCCTTGCAATAATACATAAGGACTACAAGTTCAAAATTAATTATTACTCTACCCTAAAAGTCTTAACTTTTTTCCCAAAAGTAATTTTTAAGCCTTTTTACATTTGGATATCAAATACCAGGAAAAAAGAATTATTTTGTGACTTTAAAATACTTTGAAGTCACAAAATGATTCTTAATCAGGGATATGGATACCCATAAACTACAGAGTACATTATATTATTTATTTTGGAAATCCAAATCTCTGATTAGTTATCATATTAGTTTGTTTAAATAAAATCAATAACAACAACTAAATATATATATATATATATATATATATATATATATTTTTGTGGTTTGCCGATCTTTCTTTTATTCATCACAAAAACAAGTTTTTGCTTGACAACCACAAACCCCAAGATTAACCAAAAAAATAATTAGCATTTAAAAATATTTAGCATGCTTGCAAACAATAACTTTATAATTTTTTTGCACATTTCTCTTGTATAAGAAGAATAAAATATTTAAACAAAAAAAATATTTACCTAAAAAAGCTAACGCATGAAACTTTTAGTAGTAAACATTATGTAGTTAGTAGTTAACATTATATATATATATATATATATATATATATATATATATATATATATATATATATATATATATATATATATATATATATATATATAATATTTTTTACCAACAACAATGCCAAAAATTCTTATTGATGAGTTTGAAATAAAAAAAAAATTGTTTACTAGTTTTCTTGGTATTTATCTTGCTGAGAATGTTATATGGAAACGGCATATTGACTACATTTGCACTAAAGTTTCTAAAAATATAGGAGTCCTCTAGAAGTCAAAAAATTATTTAAACAAAACCATATTAATCCAACTCTATTACTCATTTATACATAGTTATATTAACTATACAAATATTGCTTGGGGAAGTACAAGCAAAAGTAAGTTGCGTAGTCTTTATCGTCAGAAACAAGCAATATGCTTAGTTACATTTATTCTGTTCATTACAATTTTCTGTTGTTTTTTTATTTAGGATTTCTTTTTTATTTAACAAAGCATTATTGCGACCTTTTATAATTCTTTGCATATTTTTTGTGCAACTGTAGCTAACTTTAATTGTACTTCGATTAAAAATTTTATGTAATTTATTAGAGGGAGGGAAATGCTTATCGAGCAATTTTAAAAACACTTTTCCTATGTTAGTTGAAACATTTTTGCTATATGGTTGAACCAAATTACATTTCTAGCTCTATTCCGCTTTTTTTTATTCATTTTTTCAGGGTCAAATTTTAGTTCAAAATTTTCAAAACCAATTTTTTTTAAGGGCATCTTCTTCATCTTTTAAGGGCATCTTGTTAAATGAAAAAGAAATTGTAATTGTAAACAAAAAACAATTGTCCAATGAGTGAAAGTTGTTTATCAAAAAATGTGGTATATAAATGTGTCGCTTCCTCTAAGAATGTGCCTGATAAACAATATATTGGCATAACAGAGGGTGAATGGAAAAAACGTTTTGCCAATCATAAGCAATCTTTTAAAAATAAAAAGTATTCAAAAGACACCATGCTGTCAAAATATATATGGGAACTAAAAGATAAAAATATTGATGATTTTATCGGAATTGATTTCTAAATGCAGGCACAAAAATAAGTTTCTCCTAAAAAACTATGAAAATAAGTGAGCTCAAATAACAGTTACATTAAATTCCCCCTTTTAAAAATATTTTTATAAAAAAGTATAAGTAATTGTGTCTAAAGAATTCTTTTTATAATAGTGTCAGCAAATTCCACAAATGTGTGAAAATTTACAGTAGTTAAAACATTTGCAACTTCCTGTAATTTAATTTTTTGGTATAAATTGAAGTTTTATTAATTTGATCATCCATTTCTGAGTCTTTGTTGATGAAACACAGTGTAAAATGAAAAAATATTTTTGTTAAGTGATTTTCTACTAATTTATAATTGCTCTGTTCTTTTAAGAACATTGAACACTATATTTTGTAAAATACATTTTTAAAATTGTTTATATATATATATATATATATATATATATATATATATATATATATATATATATATATATATATATATATATATATATATATATATATATATATATATATATATATATATATATATATATATATATATATATATATAATGTCATTATTTTTTAACTAAGGTTAAATAAAAGAAATAAAAAAATCTACATTGGCAAATAAAAGTAATTTTATTTTTTTCAAACAAATCAAGAGAAAGTAAACTTCTTAAAGCTCATATAAAGTTATATTATATGAGCTTTAAGAAGTTAACTATAATAGCATTTAGTTTATTTATGTCACACTAGCAAAATTAGAAAATATATTTAAGATCAAACCATTTTTAGAAAGTGATTCTCCAAATACAAACTTTACAGAATTATTATGAGCCTCAACATCAAAACCTTGCAAAGCAAGCTCTGAACATGGATGTTTATTTAGAGTAAGTAGACGTAAACCACTGTCTTTATCTTTGGTCTGAATAACTAATCCAAAATCATTCTCAAGTTTACTTGTTACAAAGCGAGAAAAATTAAAACAATTTTCATACCAAGTCATATATTTATTAGCATTGCCATATTCAACTGCCATGGCAATGTGATCAATACTATCAATAGAAACATTAGATTTTGTTTCTTTAGAAATTTTTGTAAAGCCAGGCAAAAAAATACCATCATAAAAGTCTGTATTCAGTAAGGTATGTTTAAGATTTCCAATTGGAGATTTAATAACTGCTTTTTCAATATAATTTTTACATTTACTAGAATAACAATTGCATGAACCATTATCAAGTGTAACTTTGCTTTGTTGAATGCAATCTAAGTAATGTGGCTGCTCAAGAACTTGACCACCGTTAGTTTTTACAATATCACATGACTTTTTGACAGACTCGACACAATATGCAATATCATCTACAGTATCAATGTCACTAGATTTACTCAAACAAATAATAATACCATTTAGAATTAATACCAAACGCATTTCATCTTGAGAAGTAGGAAACCAATAGCCGAAAACCTTGAAACCATATAATTGACAAAAAGATTTGCATGATTTTTCAATATCTGTACATCTGATATTGAGGTGATGTATCCTCATTTTGTCTTTCTTTGTTATTGTTGTTGTTGTTTTGTTTGGCTTAAAACAAACAAAAAAATAATAAAGTAATAATAGTTTACTAATTGTATAAAAAAAAAATTAAGAATATATTTATATTAACTTTATAAAATCATCCTTTTAATCTTAAAAAAAAAATTAATTTAAAAATTCATTTTTTCTGATTTTGAATTTTAAATATTAACTCAAATTTACAAAACAATAAAATGAGGTCAATAAAAGTTTTTTTGTGTCAGAAAATTTTTTAAAAATATACTTAAGCTTGTTAACCACAAAGAAACCACTTAGTGGTAAACGACAAGTAAAGATATTTTTTTTTACTTGAATAACATTATTTAATAAAATTGTTACCTGAAAAAACAATAGAAAAGAACTAAAAATAATGATTTATTTGATAATGTTAGTTTGGGACCATCCAGATTATTAATAAGAAAACAAACAAAACAGTTGTAATGATGTCATAACTGAAATTTATTTTTTAGGTGACCTTTGATAAAGTATTTTTGAAAAAGAAAGAAAAATATATATTTGTTAAAAACATCACTTCAATAAACTAACTAAAATAAAACACTTAAGTGTTATCACATAATTAAAAAAAAAAAAAAAGTAAAATATCAGCACAATTAACTTCCAAAACATAAACTGTTGAATGAGTTCATGAACAAACTTCCAGCAAATAAAGAAGAATAAAGAACTGAGCTTTATTCTATATTCTATATTTAACACTAAGTTCTAAACAGCTTTTTAACACTAAATTGAGTTCTTGAAAGTTTTTTTTTAATACTAAGTTAAGTTCTTGAAAATATTTAATATCACAAAATTTTCACGATATTTAAAAAGTGTTAAAACTATCTTTCATATTATTAAAAAAGTATTTTAGGAGCTTAACAAACTGAATTTTAATTTTAAAAAAAAATTGCTAAACTAGCTCCATAACTAAACTAAAAATTGCTTAACTAGCTCCATAACTAAAATTTTCTGTTGCATCTTCCTAAAAAATGGAGTCGTTGTTGAAGTATTATACTTCAACAACAACTCAGTTTTTTTGAAAGATATATATATATATATATATATATATATATATATATATATATATATATATATATATATATATATATATATATATATATATATATATATATATATATATATATATATATATATATACTTAGATATATACTTAATATATGATTTATTATAATATAAGATATATACTTAGTATATGATTGACCAGAAGAATATATATATTTTAAAAAATGTGTTTCTTTCGGCTTATTTTTTTGGTATGAAACTTTCATTACCATTTGTCATAAATATAAATCTAGAAACAATAAAAAGTTTTGAGTAAAAAAAAATAAACTCAATTGATAGCAAAAAATCCTGATTTAAAAAAGCAAAACCGCAGTATCAATATAATCATACAGAAGCAAGTTAGTTTTGTAGGCTAAAAAAATGGTTTGAGACCAATTTAAGTGGAATATTCCACACATTTAGTATGCCTTTAATTTATAAATTTTGAAAAATGTTAAAGATTAATAAAAGAAGCAATGGAAATTGTAAAAGATTATTAATTTTTCTAATTTTTTTTTTCGTAGTTTTTCTATTTTCTATTTATTACAGATTTTTTACTTTTGATTTTTTTGATTTTTTGCTTACGGGTTGATTTTTTACTTAATTACTGATTCGGGTTTTCTGTTTTTGTTTACTTTCGGCATTACTGATTCGGATTGATTTTTATTTTATTTCTCCGTAACCCGATATTTTTTTATTACGTCTAAGTGAAGAGAGAGGCATCCATAAAGTATGTACCTAGTAAACCTATCCATTTAGAACCCCTATTTTGGGGCAGATCTAGAGGGTATCCTGTGATGCCTAGCATTCACCCATAATAGTTTCAAAATTTATGATGAAATATTAACTAATGAATCAAAATTTGGATTTAATGAATTTCTTGCAACTGTTGTAAAAAAAGTTTTGAATAGTTTTTTTATTTTGGAGTTTTAGTTCTTTTAAACTTTGCATTTTTTTTTTTTTTTAATTTTGTTTAGACACCCTAAGAAGTCTTTACAGTCTTATCACAGAGCACCACGGATGAACATTTAATTGAAAGTTCACCCCACCTTCCTAACTGATGTCGCAAAACTTGGCCAGAAGTGCGGTTTGAACCATGGATTCTTTGTTTCTGAGGCAAGTGCGTTACCACGGCTGCTACGGCTGCATCTGTAGTAAATATTTTTGGAATGTTTGGTCTAACCATTTTTACAGATACTTGCATAACAGAGTAAAGATTTAATTCTTAAGCTTTATTATGTATTCATTAAAAAATGTATTCATCAAGAATACATATTTTATGCATAAATTTTAAATATTTTTTTCATTTCTAGAGAATGGTGCTTAGAATGGGTTTTTACCTAATATTATTTACTTGTTTGATTATTGACTTAAATGCATCATAATTATTTTATTATATTTTATGTTATGATTTAATGTATGTTAAAAATTTGGCAATAAATAGTGTATAAATATTTTAAAGAAATGTGTTTAACTGCCAATAAAGTCAACAAAAAAATCTAGGAATAAGGCTAAACCTTTAATAAAATTAAATTCTTCTCTTCTTCTATGTGATTTTTTCCATGAGTGAAAAACCATCATAACTCAAAGATTAAGACCAGTTGTTTTTGATTTATATTCAACATATTGCAAAAATTATATGCATATATATATATATATATATATATATATATATATATTATATATATATATATATATATATATATATATATACATATGCTGTGCATAAACATCGAACAAAATTAAGAATTTAGAAATGGAGGGCAGCATGACAAATGGCGGTGTTTGGAATAAAAGTTAAAAATGCAAATTTAGAGCATCAAAAGTACTCAATAAGCTAATATAAATTATTATTTTATAAATATTTCTAATTTTCTCTTTACACTTTTACATAAATTGTGTTTATATTTAAATATATTTACTTAACCTAACACAAGAAAAGTTAAATAACATTTGTTTACAAGTTTAATCCGTCATTTGTTAAAAGGGCAAAAACGTCTTCACTTTCCGAATCGAGGTTTGCCATCTAGTTTATATAATATATCATTGGTTATAGTAAACAAACTCATTTTCCCCATTAGCTTGAATATATTGCATTAACCCCTTCCCTACCCCTTAATTTCCCTCATCCTACTGACTTTCTAACTTCTATCTACTGTCTAGAGGGATTTTTATTATAAAGTAGGCATCCTTAAAAAAAGCCTGCGTACGCCCCTGCTCTTTTATTGACTTTTAATTATTTTTTGAAAAATGCAAGCATTTTTCAAAACATTAAAAAAAAAAAAAAAATACTTTTACCACATTTGAAGCACAAGTCACTCACAAAATTTATTTGATATCGCCTAAAGATAATCCTTTTTTATCAAAATAAAGTCTAGTTTTATCCAATCAATGACAAATTATTGAAATAGTTTTTTAATGTTGCTTATTGTTGATGAAGCCTAAAAATTTCAAATCAATACTTCCTGCGTTACTTTTGACCGTCTTGGTAAAATAAAGTGCTTGTTGTTAAATATGACCAAAACCTCAATAAAGAATGCTTACTCAAAGATTTTCTCATAACACTAAGTTATCTATGTAGCATTAGAAAGTTTATGGCTAGAAGGAGGTTTTTAGGCAAATTGATTGAAAAGTTACGGTAAATTGTGAAGTTATGGTAAATGTGTATTGTGAAGATATATTAAATATTGATTATGAAGATATGGTATATGTAAATTAAAAAGATTTAGTAAATCGTCTGTTTAATGGAAAGACTGTTGCAAGAGCAATAACTTTTTTTATCCTACAGGGAAGATTATTTACGTTAGTGGTCGTCCATAAAATACATACGCTCATAGGGGAAGGAAGGAGGTTGTCAAAAAACGTTTAAAAGTGTATGGGGGAGGGGGTTCAATATAAAAGTACGTACATTGATTTTCTAATTTATCACAGTTAACCAGCTAATTAATAGAAAAGTCAAAATTTTGACTAAAGATCCTAGTTTGTCTACATAAAAAGGGTTTGGAGCTTGTGCATGCTCCAAACTTATGTATAGGTCAGAGGTCCAATTTTTGGCGTACGTACTTTATGGGCGACCCCTTAGTAGTATTAACCTACAGGGAAGGGAAAGGATAAAAAATTTATAAACAAAATTTAAAAACTGTCAATAAATTTAAATTTTGTATAAAATAATAAAGTTTAAAGTTTTGCAAAGATTTTAACAAGTCAAAAAAGCTATCACCAGAAGATTGTGTTGCTTATTTTGTGGTTCATCTTCAGATTAATGAAGAAATAGTATGAGATAAATATTGTAAATATTCTACACTTCGAATGGTTGTGCTCTTCCAATGCAATTCTGATAAGAATCCGGCACCACCTGATTTTTAGAAGACTAATTCCACAGAAAAAATGACTTTTAAAAACCACTTGAAGAAATCAATTTAAAAACCACACCTATTCTTGAATTGGAAAACTTAAAGTTCTCATTACTGAAAATCAGAAAAAATTTGTGGTTGCATGAAAATGGTCTAAAATCATTTAATACATACATGTCACATGCAAGTGATAATTTAAGTTATTTTCATGTAGCTAAAGTAATGTTTCTTGCTAAAAAATCTGTAGCGACAGGTTCATCAATTTTGCGTCATTTTATTTTTAAATAACTTATTATAAAACTCTACAGTAAATTCAAAACATTTGTTATTGGTATATAAGGATTAAAATATTGACGTACAAAGGTTGGAACATAACTCGATAACGTTTTAATTTACTGAGTGTACTCGTTATGTCATGAGTCATTTTTGTTTGGTTAATACTCTATTTTTATCATTTTAGATGTGATTACATTTTACCAAGCTTTACTCTATGATCTATAACAACTTATTAATGCTTTTAACAATTTATTAGTTCTTATTATATATATATATATATATATATATATATATATATATATATATATATATATATATATATATATATATATATATATATATTCATTTTTCTTTAACTTAATACTTTACAAAATTTATAAAATTTCAAAATAAACAAAAAAATAATTAATGGTGGAAAATTGAAATATTGAAATAAAATTTTAATAAGTTTGAACTTTAAGAAAAAAGACCATCGAGAAAAGCCATTGTGTTGAATTTTTTCAAAAATCGACGTGAAGAATTCGTTTCTCGTAACGTGATAGCGTGACATTTTGATTAAGGGGACAGAAAATTTAAATTTATAAATAAATTAACGAATTTCACTAAATTAATAAAACTGTGAGTAATCCGATTAAAAAATTTAATCAAAATTTATTTAAACATTTTATTCTTCTTTTATATTTAAGTTTTTATTTAATTTAAAACAATAAGCTATTTGTTTGTTCGCAGTGTCCTATTACGAGACAAACAATACTCAAAATTTTATTATTAACTTAGTAATAGTTATGTGCTGATTTATATTTCTTTTTTAAAGTTCTCTTTTTTACGTTTAATCTAGAACTCCTATTTATTTAATATTTTCTATTCATTTAATACCTTACAAGATTTAATCATTCACATAAAACTGTTTTGTTGAAGTTTTTAAATAAATACGTTAATCAATTATTTATGATTACTAATACAAAACATAAAAAGCAAAACAATGATAAATTTTTCTTTAATAAAAAAATAAAAAACGGTGAAATAATAATACTTGTAGAAAACAAAAAATTGTCAAAAGTACACATTTGAAAGCACACTTTAATGTTTGCTCCTCCTTCAAATTAAACTAAACTTAAATGTAAAAGTGAGAGAAGAAAAACATAAAATTTTGAATCAATTTATAAGAATTTATATTCGTTTTTTCTTTGCCTTTAAACGCGTTTTCACGCGCACTTTTAAATATCGATAACTTTCTTTTTTAAGTAAAAACTGTACCGCCTTAAATACTGTGAAAATTTCTTTTATTCGTAACTAACAAACGAACGACTTAAATACCGCGAACATATCTTTTATTCGTAACTAACTAACGAACGCCTCTAAATAATCAAATTTTAATTAATTAAAGTAATGGATTTTGTTTTTAATGTTTAGCAGATATTTCATCAAGTTTAAGCAAAAAAAAAAAAAAAATACAAATGTAAAAAATAGAAAAACATTTAATGAACAGAAATCGGAAAATTAAATGCAAAGTTATTGTAAGATGTTTTTAGTGTTTTTGTATATTTTTCTTTAAAAGTTTAATATCGATTATAAAACAAGGTTTTGTAATAATATAAGCTTAACCACCAAATCAATGTAAACTACTTGAACCAATCAAACCACTATAAACCACCATAAACAATTGAAACCAATTAAACCACTCTAAAACCACTTTTTCTGTTCGGACGTTTTGTCAAGGAAAAGCAGGTGAGCCTCATGTAATAAATTGTTTTTAAATTTATTCCATTAAAGCAACCAATTTCAAATTTTAACAGTATACCAAGACTACAAAGTATTCTATGTTTATGAAAATATGTTAAATTTTTTTTTTTTTTTTTTTTATGACTGATTTTTTCAAGATTAGATTTTTTATTTTTTTTTTATTTTGAACAAAACCTGTTTTAAGTTCAAAAACTATAAAACGAACAAAAATCGGCATGGTGTAAGAAAAAGAAGTTTTATACATTTTGTTAATAAATAAAAAACAGACAAATGTTCTACCCAGCTAGCACAGACGTTCCTATGACGTCTATACGACGTATTATGAACGATATAAGTTCCTAAGACGTCTAGCGGACATTCTGTGCCCACTGGGAATAAAGAAAAGGATATTATTGCTATGATGCAATGAAGAAGAGGATAACATTGCCAAAATCTTTTCATTGAGTAATTTCAGAGAGAACACAAAAAATTAGATGAGGATTTTAACTACAACCAAAATTGTTTAAACCATTTAACTGCAAAAACCTGAATATCTCTTTATTATGTAAAATAAAATTATACCTTTAAAATTTGATGGAAACGTTTCAACAAAGGGCTTGTATAGATACGTATATCTTTATTAAGGTATTTAAAAACAAACCGTTAATACCACATACAGTGGCGTTCTTCAAGACACTTGGATCCAATTTTTAGTATCGCGTACAATATTCAGATTTTAAGTAAAGACCTATTTTACAAGTTTATTTCTCCATAGGCTTTTTTGTAATGCAGAACTTTCAACCAAAAATGCTTATACGATAATCATTTTTCATCATTAAGCATTGTGTAACACTTGCGTTGAGAAAGGTACTTTCTACCATTAACCTATTTGTTGATTTTTTGCACTGAAACACTATTTTTGCAATAAATAGCTTTTGTAAATTACATTCTGATTTATAATATTTTTTGATAGCTAAGCTTCATTTTTGTAGATTTCATAGAGTGTCTGTATTCGTTATCAAATTTATAATTTTTTTTGATTGCTAAGCTTCACCTTCGTAGATTTCATAGAGTGACTGTATTCGTTATTAAATTTATAATGTTTTTTGATTGCTAAGCTTTATCTTCGTAATTATATAGATAGTCTTCAGAGTTATGACTGCATTCGTTATTAAAAATCTTTGCAAATTTATTTCATTTTTCTAATTGAATTATTGTGACCTCTGGTAAATTTGCCTAATAATTACAAAAAAAAAATTCGATGTGAAAAAAACATGGGATTTAATTAACGATATAATGGGAAGAAAGAAAATAAATACGGCTATACTACCACAAAGAATAAATATCAATAAAACTGATATTTACTGTCCATTACAAATCTCGAATGAATTAAATCAATACTTAACAAACATTGGCCCTAACCTTGCTAAAAAAAACATAACTACACCAAATTCCTTTCAAAAATGTCTTAAATCTTTAAATGGCGCGATACTGCAAGATCGCGACTTAGTATGAAATTGCTTTTTCTTTTTTAAAAAAGAATAAACCGCCATTGTTTCGATGACGTTTTTAGTAATATAGTTATTTCAAACAAAAAATACATCTTCAAACCTTTATTCCATAATATAAAACTTTCAATAAAAGAAGGAATTTTTCCTGAAGCATTAAAATTGGCAAAAAGAAAAATATCCAACTTACAAAAATTATGATCAATCTGAAGTCTCTAATTATAAACCTGTATCAGTACTTTCTGCATTTTCAAAAATATTTGAACGTGTTATTTATAATAGAATCTGTAACCATTTTAATGAAAATAATTTATTTTACACAAAACAGTTTGGTTTTCGTAAAAAACATTCAACAGAACACGCAATAATTAAAATAGTAGACCAAATTACTAAAGGATTTGAAAATAATAACTTCACTCGAGGACTATTTATTGACCTATCAAAAACATATGATACGGCTGATCACCTAATTTTTTTGGAAAAAATAAAACACTACGGAGTGATAAATAAAACCCATGATTGGTTAAAAAGCTAACTCACTGAAAGAAAACAATATGTTATTAGTAAGGAATCAAGGTCAATTCTTGGTCCATTGCTTTTGTTTATTTATGTAAATGATTTAAATAATGCATCAGCAAAGCTTAACTCAATAATGTTTGCTGACGACACAAATCTCTTCCTTTCAAACTGTGACATTAATCAACTGTATTCTGACATGAACTCTGAACTAATGAATGTCGATGAATGGTTTAAGGCAAAAAAACTTTCACTTAATGTAGATAAAACAAACTATACTTTATTTCATAAAAAATCACAAGATGAAAAACTTCCTTTAAAATTACCTGATTTGATTTTAAATGATACACAAATTAGTAAAAATGATTCAATAAAATTCTTAGGAATTCTTATTGTTGAAAATTTATCATGGCTTCCCCATATTAATTATATTCAATCAAAAATTAGTAAAACAATTGGTTTGATGTACCGTATTTGTCCATCAGAAAGTCTGAAACAAGTATATTTTGGACAAATACATTGTCTCATATACTATGCCAATATCACATGAGCTAATTCTCAACCAACAAAACTTAAAAAATTATTTTTTCTAAAAAAACCTGCATGCAGACTTATATATAAAAAATATATATAAATACATGAACATGCAAAACCATTAATGGAAGATATGAAAATGACGAATATATATGAAATCAACATTTACAAACACCTAATTTTTATGTATAAATGTAAAAACAGCTTGATTCCAAAAAACTTTAATTATAAATTTACAAAAAATGTAAACAAAAAGCATTCTCTTAGAATAAACCAATGGAATACTTATAAATTACCTAGAATTAATAGTAAGTATTCTGAATATGGAATATCATACCGCGGACCAAAACTATGGAACACCTTTCAAAAAACAAAAAATTTAAATACTGTAAAATCATTAAATTCCTTTAAGTTTATCGTAAAAAATGAAATTTTTAAAGCAGATAAATAGTTTTCTTGATTTGTTGAAATGAAAATCGAGTTCCATTATTTTTAGTTTTTTTACTTGTTAATTGGCTCTTTTGATATTTAACAGAGTTGCTAGTTTATTTTAATGAATATTGATAAAACTATATGATATTATTTACTTTCTTGATTTAATGGAAATATTTATGCAAACTTTAACCTTTTTATTATATTGGAGATCTTATTTTTTTTTAACTTGTAAAGCCCACCTAGGGGCTCTATGAAAAGATTGTGGTGACTTTAGTCATCCGTATCTTCTTTGAGCCCCTGCCTGTTCTTTATAAATCCACTTTTTTTGTATGTAAACGTTTCTTTGTAATTATATTTATTATTATATAAACAGCAAATATATATTAAAAAAAAATTCGATACACGATGCTAATTAATAATGTTTGTTTATGACTTTATTCATTTGAATAAGATCTCTCTTTTCTTTTCTATTCGATACATTTTTTAAGTCCATTTTCCTTAGTAATTGTTTACAACTGGTCCCTTTTTTTTGTAGCCAATTTTTGTAGCTTTTTGTTATTTTTCTATTATGTTTATGCTTTTTTCTATTATGTTTATATCTTTAATAAAATATGGGTTCCTTATTTAAAAAGCATATTTTAAGTGCGGCTGAATGAGTGACGTATATAATAATTTTGTTAATGCTTCATCAAGTTAGAGAATTAAGTGTTTTAACATAAGCAATTTTTTATTTGCCTTACTTACCATTTTTTAAATGTGGTTTTCCTTTTAAATAGTTTGAAATACAAACATCTCTCTTTCCAATGACGTTACTTTTAGTTCACGTGGATCTATGTTTCTTTAGCAGTATATTTTAAAGCATACTTCGTTTTTTTTTATCACGACCAAATTACTTAAATTTAAATTAATTTTTGTTAAAACCGCTTAATCATTTCATTGTTCAATTTAATAAAGTCTCAAGATTAAACTGTTGTGAGTGATTTTTTCTTCTTCTGCTACTACATATATTTTTAAACCATTCGCATTTAGCTTTGCTTTTTTATTCAATTTTTTTCTTACATCGTTTATATAAATTGCTAATAGAAACGATCCTTAAAATGATTTTTGTGGTACCCCTCTACGAAATGTTTCCCATTCTGATTCAAATAGCTCTAAAACAACTTTTTGTTTCAATTTGCAATTTTAAATTTTAAATTTTCAAATAATCTTTGACACCATTATAACAATTTTTCAATCAAATGATTTCAGTTTTTTTTTTTTGCTTCTTTTTTTTACATCCAATGTCTCAAGAAGATTTGTCACATAATTTTTTGATTTAACAAATCCGTGTGTTATTATTATTATTATTATTATTATTATTATTATTATTATTATTATTATTAGTTTAATTTGACTTAAATGATTTCTTATTGCGTCCTTAACAATACTTTCCATTAGTTTACAAGCAACAGAGATAAAAAAAATTGGACAGAGTGGTTTAACCAAACTGTTAGCACATTTACTTAAGGTGGTAGCCCTATTAAAAAGGTGATTTTGAGAAATAAAAAGAAATCTAACATATTTAAGTGTTTATAATATTTATTAGAGATAACTAGGATGATTTTAAAAAAAAAAATACTTTTGGTTGATCCATAATGGGGGAAAAAGTGTCATAAAATCAGCATAATTGATCATATTTCACAATGCTCTAAGTCAGTTTGTTTTTATCGGTTTTCAATTAAACTTTAGGACATTTTTCAGTACACCCATATACTCCATTTAACCGTCAGATTTTTTCTAAATCGAAATATTAAAAAAGTTATCAACTTTTTTGTATGAACCTATTGATTTTCAATAGTTTTGTGGTATGTTTCAAAACGTTTAGGTCTATAAATCAATATTTAGAGTGATACATAAAAATTCTAACGGTTAAATAGAGTGCACATATGTTGTGAACTTATCTTGAAAATTTGAAAGCAAATACTCTATCGAATATTAAGTTATGATGTTTCAAATTTTCAAAAAACGCTCAAA